GACTCTTGAACCGTCGCCTTGCACTCAGCAGCAGCAGCAGCGCGTATGACACTGGTGGAGGACAGCTCAGCCTCCTCCCGTTGATCAAGAGTGATTTCTGAGCCTATTGAAATGACTCAAGAATTTCGTTATTTACACTTATTTTGATTTTTCGAGTCCTTGGGTCCCTGGAGATGGATAGAACTAATAATAATAAAAAATGTAATCCCGGGTGAGAAGAGAGCATTTGGTACACCTAGCGAACTGCTGAAAACTGAAATACAAACCTGAGTTGGAATCCAGATGGAAGTACTCGGACAAATTTCTAAAAAAAGCAAGAAAGAAGAAAGAGTGAACATCCACCTGCAGTGGTGTGATTGGCCTCTGCATGATCCTTACGCCTGCGAACCCATCGACCCAGGTTAGTCCCAAATAGGGAATCCCAGCCCCACCAGTTCATGCCCCTTGCCCTCACCAGCCATGGAATTATCCAGTCAGGAGGAGAATACACACATCGAAGAGGTTTGGACCTGCGTGCGATGCATCACTCGTGAGAGCTCAATCGCACACGCTCACCGATGCATGTGGCATAAGGCACACTTTGTAAATTTTTAAAAATGAATGCATGAGGGTATCGCTGGATAGACAAACGGACAAGCAAACAGAAAGATAAGGAGACAAGGACACATGAACCCTCACAATCTCCCATTGAACGTACGTAATTTTGATTCATAGATTGCAGTTGATCAGCATTCAAAAAAAAAAAAAAAAAAAAAAAAAAAAAAACCTATTTATCATTCCGTCACACCATTTTGATGCTTCAGACACATTTGAACACAAATAAACTGGACTTGTGTTTAAACTTTAAACATTCTTTAATAACCTCATCGGAAAAAAACAGGGTCGGCATTGTGAAGTTTGGTGAACCAGAAGTGATTTTGCCTAAACTGAAACTAATACCCATTTTGTTTAGTGCTATAGGCACATTTTTGGCGTACTGTGTTAATTTTTGTGCAAATCGATCTATAATATATTAATATTCTCTATATGTTTTGAAAACTAGTACACTAGCCACGAAGTGCTATTGTTTTTTGAACAAGCGATGGTTATTTGATAAGGAAGATTCTGGTTTTCGAATCCAGACACCCTGATACGCAATCGGTCACGACCCACATTGGGAACGCAACGTGCGACCACGAAATCGCATTGGCTATTCTATACTGGAAAGCTTTTGTGTCGGCTTCGTTATCCTCACCAGGTTCAGCATCGTCTCCCCTAGCAAAAAGGCTCAGCGAGGTTGGTCGCTTCAGGAGGGTTTCGTCGTTGCTTTTCCACACACAAGGTGCTACCACAACCCGACTTTCTTTGTTCCAATCGGAATACAGAGATTGGAGATCAGCACGTTGAAGGTTGGTCACTAGAAAACTGGTTTCTTTCAGCTGGCTAGAGAGAGTCGTGACCAACGCCCAAAGAATATGCCGACGAGGGCGTACCACTTCGTACGTCCACTTACGCACGGTGCACCATAACGAGCGCAACCCTCGTTTTGTGTTGCAAGTTGGTATTGTGGACATGGGTTTAAAGTAAACTTAAACCACCAGCACCTCGTCCAGCTATTGAAGCGGAGCCTGAAAATGCCCCGCCCGCCAAAATAAACGAACGGGCGCAAGCCTCATTTTGGCTGGTGCCACCAGCCATTTTGGTCCGGTACCCCGACACCCAAGAGTTGCGGTCGCTTACGGCCACACATTTGTTTTCCAAGCGGGGAAAGGTACTGGTGGTTTAAGGAAGCCTACATTGGTGTTAGGAACCCATGACCAAAAAAAGGGAAAACGGAAAGGAAAACATATTTTTAGGAAAACAACAAGACAAAAAAAATCAAAAAAAAAAAACCCCTTCAAAAAAGACATACTTGACATGAGTAGAATGTTCACCCACTACATAGATAATGATCTTGGGAGAAGGAAACACTCTTGCAATACAGTCCTCTTTTTCTTTCTAAGATGGGGGGGGGGGGGGGGGGGGGGGGGGGGGGGGGGGGGGGGCGGGATCAATTTACGAGCTAACTGCCTGTGTTCTTCCTCCTCCTCTTTTCTTTTTTTGTTTGTTTTTCATTCTTAAAATGCCGCCATGCTCATCACACAGGAGGCTATTGCATACGTTCCAGTGCGAAGTGGAACCAAACCCCGTGACACTAACACGGTGAAGTGCTGCTGCTGGGCCTTTATGTGATGGAATGAAGGGTTCTTCTTTGGTGTAGTTTTCACCAGGAGTCCCACGATCGGGAAGCCCACAATGCGGGAATTGGGACCAGGATCAGGAAGCCCACAGTGCAGGAATCGGAACCAGGATCAGGTCCATGTGCAGCTCTGGGTCCAGATCGTAAGTCCAGGGCGATTCTCCTGTGAAGAACCCCAGTGGTGGTGTATTAGCTTGTCCTTGGCTGCAATCGGACCAGATCCGTCTTCGGAACCTGGACCGGCTCGTGGTCCAGGTTCAGGTCCTTCAGGATGTTTTACCTCAGAAGAACCCGCTGATGGTGTGTTAAACTGTGTTTGCTTGTACTTTTTCTGTGACTGGACCAGATCGGTGTCCAGGTCCGCGTCAAAGTCCGTATCCAGATCCAGGTCCAGGCTGATTCACCTCAGAAGAACCCAGTTGTGGTGTATTAGCTTGTCCTTCTCTGCAGTGACATCAGATCCGTATCTGGGTCTGGGTCTGGGTCCAGGTCCAGGTGCAGGTGCTCCAGAAGTGTTTTTTTTCACCTCAGAAGAACCTTGTGATGGTGTGTTTGACTGTCCTGTTCTTCAATTGGATCAGATCCATATCCAGGTCTGGCTCCAGGTCTGTATCCATCCAGGTCTGGGTCCAGGTCTGGGTCCAGGTCCATATAGAGGTTTGGGTCCAGGTCCAGGACGATCCACCACAGAAGAACCCAGTCGTGGTGTATTGGCTTGTCCTTTTCTGCCATTGGATCAGATCCATATCCAGGTCTATATCCAGGTCTGTATCCAGGTCTGTATCCAGGTCTGGGTCCAGGTCTGTATCCAGGTCTGGGTCCAGGTCTGGGTCCAGGTCCATATAGAGGTTTGGGTTCAGGTCCGTATGCAGATCCAGGTCCAGGAAGATCCACCTGTGTATTGGCTTGTCCTTTTCTGCCATTGGATCAGATCCATATCCAGGTCCGGGTCCAGGTCTGTATCCATCCAGGTCTGGGTCCAGGTCCATATTGAGGTCTGGGTCCAGGTACGTATGCAGTTCCAGGTCCAGGTCGATCCACCTCAGAAGAACCCCGTAGGGGTGTACTGGCTTGTCCTTTTCTGTCATTGGATCAGATCTATATCCTGGCCGGGGGCCAGATTCAGGTCCATGATGCTTCCCCTCAGAAGAACCCCAGAGAGGTGCAGCTTTACCAGCGTGTCCTTTTTCTGCAATCCGATGCGGCGGCAGCAGAGTCGTCTGTGCCTTCCTCCTTTCGCGAACATGAATAGAAAATGAGAAATGCATTCCGTTGAAATTCAGGCGGAGTGGACTTGGCCCAGACCGCCTTCGCCGGTGAATATCTGACCTTGAGAAACTGATTATTGCAGCCATCAACACCAAATTATCGACTGCCAGACGACAACGGTCAAGCCTGCGGAAAAGCCGATTGCAGCAATCGGCACCAAACATCCACTGCCAGAAGACGATGGACGTTCGAACGGACCCAGGCCATCCTGCTGCATAGTACACACTTGCGACTGCTAATCAACGGGTCATCCAGGAGTGCAATCCTTTACGGAATCGGACACATGTGCGAGCAAGATGCGGGCCTACCGGCCATGTGGGTTGATGGTAGACACGTGCAACGGCTGATCGATGCGCCATGCACAGGTTCAAATCCTGTCCTGGTGGAATTCGATCGATGCAACAAGATAAGGGCCTACCTGCTTTACGAAAGGGAAGAGCCAAGTAGCATCATTGTAGAATCATGTTCACTTGTCAGAGATTGCCTGCTAACTTTCAAAAAAAAAAAAAAAAAAAAAAAAAAAAAAATTTTCTTTCCCCCCCCTTTTCCCCCCCCTTTTTTTTTTTTTTTTTTTTTTTTTTTTTTCCTTTTTTTTTTTTTTTTTTTTTTTTTTTTTTTTTTTTTTTTTTTTTTTAATTTTATAAATGGGAACAAGGCTGCAATCTATTCGTGGGGAGCAGCACGTGCTGGGAACCGGGCCCAGCGTCCCATATGAAAATTTACAGGGAATTTTGGAAATTTGAAACACCGGGGCCATTATCCGGCAGTGCCAAGCTTACAGTTTTGAACACCTGACGGAGTAGAGTGTGACTCTTGAACCGTCGCCTTGCACTCAGCAGCAGCAGCAGCGCGTATGACACTGGTGGAGGACAGCTCAGCCTCCTCCCGTTGATCAAGAGTGATTTCTGAGCCTATTGAAATGACTCAAGAATTTCGTTATTTACACTTATTTTGATTTTTCGAGTCCTTGGGTCCCTGGAGATGGATAGAACTAATAATAATAAAAAATGTAATCCCGGGTGAGAAGAGAGCATTTGGTACACCTAGCGAACTGCTGAAAACTGAAATACAAACCTGAGTTGGAATCCAGATGGAAGTACTCGGACAAATTTCTAAAAAAAGCAAGAAAGAAGAAAGAGTGAACATCCACCTGCAGTGGTGTGATTGGCCTCTGCATGATCCTTACGCCTGCGAACCCATCGACCCAGGTTAGTCCCAAATAGGGAATCCCAGCCCCACCAGTTCATGCCCCTTGCCCTCACCAGCCATGGAATTATCCAGTCAGGAGGAGAATACACACATCGAAGAGGTTTGGACCTGCGTGCGATGCATCACTCGTGAGAGCTCAATCGCACACGCTCACCGATGCATGTGGCATAAGGCACACTTTGTAAATTTTTAAAAATGAATGCATGAGGGTATCGCTGGATAGACAAACGGACAAGCAAACAGAAAGATAAGGAGACAAGGACACATGAACCCTCACAATCTCCCNAAAAAAAAAAAACTTGCTACTCGAATTGGTCTCGCCTGCCTTTCTATTTTTGTCCCCTCTGTCCTCCCAGTCGGTCGAAGTTTGTACTTGGTGGTGTTTTCCGCATAAGTCGAATGTTCACTGAGTAGTTCTGTAGGCTTAGTGCCGCCTCTTCGTCCGGGGTGCCCGTCCACTTCCAGGCCGTTGGATCAATGCACAGTTGGTTGAGAGGAACTTTCCCCACCCAGCTGTATATGAGTGCTGACGGCCTCGTTCCTTTTATTGTCACAACACGAGCCTGGGCTGGGCTATTCCAAACCATAATTATGTCTTCATCCACTTTTGTCAACTGATTTGGCGGGCCCTCGCATCGCCACCGTTCCACCTTTCTGAACCCGCTGGGGAGCACTGACAGCACTTTCCAAAGCGTATTGTCCTCTCCTTCCTGCCCAGGGATATACCACGTCCCTGCTGGGTCCGCCCCTTCCGGGCCGAGCATCGTCCCTGCTGGGTCCACCCCTTCCGGGCCGAGCATCTCCAACCAGTCCCTGGGGATTGCGTTTATGATCTCTTGCCAGTGCTCTTCCGTTCTCTGCAACCCTCTGAGCATAGCCTTGACTTCGGTCTGGGGTTTCCAGCCCCCCAAGGAGGTGGACCACAAGTCTGAGATCCGAACTACCCCTTTCCTAACCCAGGCTTGGCCGAAGGATCCCGTGGTGCCATCTGCTGCCAAGGTCTGTCCTGCTTGGTTGGTGATTGCCGGGTTCTCGAAGAGAATTTGCTTTAGGACTTCATCCCTGGTGGCTGGTGGGGACTGCGTATTCGGGGGGGTGCGGTGCCAAGCTTTTCGAATGGGCTCCCAGAAGACGGATTTGGGTCTCCTTTTGCGGAAGGATGGGATGAAGAAGCAATCCCAGACATCTTGGGGTCTGCTGAGCTCCCATTCTCGCATCAAGATTCTCTCCGCCAGACCGAACCACTGGTCCCTTTCCTTGGCGTTTGCGACCTTGGCTACCCAGTCCCAAAGTTGGGCTTGGTTCCTGCGTCCAGGGTCCATTAGACCCAATCCTCCTTGGGGACGAGGGAAGGTTAGCGTGTCGTAGGCTACCTTGGAGAGGAAGCCCTCCGTGGCCGGGGCTCTTGGTTTCCAAACAAATCGGGCTACCAGTTGCTTGATCACCCTTATCACTCCTTCCGCCACTTCCTTCACTGTTGTGACGAACCACATGATGGAGAGTAATGCCACGTTTGCCACCAGAGCTCTCCCGATCAATGACAGGTGCCATGTGTGACCCCACAGCCTGAGCCGCGCTGAGATGCGTTGTTGCAGAAGCAGTCCTTGAGAAGATGACTCAACTTGCAAGCTCACTAACACCCCTAGGAACCTTTCCTCCTCTCCCGATTCTACTCTCCTCATTCCCCATTCTACCTGCAGATTGAACTGAGCAGGTAGCAGATACGTAGATTTATTCCAGTTCACCGTGGCTTCCGAAAGAGAACAGTATTCTCTTAGCACCGACTTGAGGGCTGTTAGAGACTTCCCGGAGTTTTCACAGACTGCGAATAAGTCATCCGCCAACGCTTTCACTTTGCATTCCTCCCCCGTGTGCAACTGCAAACCTCTTATGTCTGGGTGCTTCCTTATCCTGTTGAGCAGGACTTCCAACTGCAGCACAAAGACGAGCGGGGCGAGCGAACACCCTTGGCGCAGCGACCTCGAGAGAGCAAAAGGCTCAGAGAGATGGCCATTCACCATTACCGCAGATGTTGAGACCGTGTACAGCGCTGCAAACCATGAGCAGAATCCATCTCCAAAACCCATCCGCTTCAGGGTCGTGAGGGTGAAGGACCATCCGACTTTATCGTAGGCCTTCTCCAGATCCAGCAGAAGGACTGCCAGGTTCAGGTTCTCCTCCTGCACTACTTCTAGCGCCTCGATCGCTGTGACGATATTGTTGAAAATGGATCTGCCCTGTACGAAGGCTCCTTGGTCTCTTCCGAACTACCGCTGGTAGGTACTTCGAAAGCCTGCGTGCCAGCGATTTTCGAGGATCTTGTAAGACACATTGAGGAGCGAGATGGGACGCCAGTTCCGAATATCCGCTTTGTCTCCCTTCTTGAACAAGACTGTTATTACCCCATGCATCACCCCTCTCTGCCTCCCACTAGGATCTCATTGTAGAGCTCGACAAGGAGGGGGCCGTAAACTGCCCAGTTGGCCCTGTAGAATTCCACCGTCAGGCCGTCCACCCCCGGCGATTTTCCCAATGCCATTGATTTAACCGTTTGTGTCACCTCCTCTAGAGAGAGTGGGCGGTCAAGGTCTAGCCTGGCTGTCGCCTGTAGCTTTGCCGAGGTGTCTTCCCACATATCCGAGGTCTCGGCCAAGTTCGTGTGAACATCCTCCTGAGGCCGCCTGGAAGTGAGAATGTCGGAATAATAGAGACTGGCGTACTGGAGCATACCGTATGCAGCGCATGTTGTAGGGGCTGTGGCGTCGAAGGGGTGTCTCAGTTCCACCATCTGTTGCTGGGTACGCTTTGGCAACAGTCTCTGGAAATTCTCCTTAGTCATTTTGTCGCTGGTTTCTATTCCCTTGACCTTCAGTATGTCCGTCCATCTCTTCTCTTTCTCATCTTGGATGGCTGTCCATTCACTCAACCGCCTCTCCCTTTCAGCTGCCCAGACCATTGCTGAGATTGGGTGGCCTTCCATCTTTTCTTCAGCCTCCTCCACCCTTCTCTTGCACTCGGCTTCCTTCTTGTTCCTTTCCCTTGCCACGATTCTCGAAATGACATTCAGAATGCCTGAGGTGGTTGCTAGCCCGCCGTCCAGCCAGTCCGCCGTGGTCTCAAAGTACCGCCTTGTCTGTTCCCAGCTGGCCATGTGCGTTGCCACCCACTCCCTCACTCCGGGAACCTCCAGCACCTGGTCGTTCAGCCGGAAGAAGCCCCGGCCTCTTGAGTCACGTAAGTGCATCCTTATGTCTAAGACCACAGGCTTGTGGTCCGACATAGGGTGACACTCACTGTGTACCGTCGTCACCCTATTCTGAATCTGTTCCCCCAACAGGTAGTAATCCAGTCGTCTCCTTGTATCTCTTGCCTCTCCCTGTGCCTGTGTGAGAACCACGTGTATCCCGAATCCCCTGGGTTTAAGACAGGGAATGGGTCCACTAGCATTAGCTCTGTGCACAGACCCAGCAGCGCCTGTACATCACCTCTTTCCGCTTTGGCCGAGTCGTGCCGGAGAGCCTCGTCTAATGACAGGTTCCAATCCCCGGCCATTATCAGCTTCTCCGTCACCGGTATATGTACCATGAGCCTTTTGAAAAACTGCGCTCTTTCCCTCACATTGGTTGGGGCGTAGATCATCAGTAAAACCCATTCCTCGCCGGCTATCTCCACCTTCAGCCAGGCCCAGCGCCCCCATAAATCTGCCTCCTTGTCTAGCACGCAGGCCTGCAAATCCCGATGAAGAAGGATACCAAAACTCGAACCTGCACTTCTTGAATTTTGAGCAAAAAAAAAAAAAAAAAGCACAAAAAAAAAGGAGGAGTTGAACCTGCACTCTGCCAGAAACAGAGCAGCCAAAGTGAGGTGAAGTGAAAGTGAAGCCCCCTTCATCTTCTTTTTTTTTTTTTTTTTTTTTTTTTTTAAAGCTATGTTCTTCTCTCAATTTCACCTCACACTACCTACCTACCACTACTCCTAATTGTAGGCATACGGGGAACCGGTAGCAGCCAGAACCGTGTTCACGAGAGAACATGCGGGGGCTGCTCCCGACCTGCAGGTGGGCGATACCGGCTAGGGGACAGCCAGTAGCATCAGGGACCACGCCAACAGGACAAATCCCTGTGCCTCCCCTCCGGTCCCCTCCCCTACGAACATCAGCAGACTCTGCTCAATGCCGATCAGGGGATCCAATGGTCTATCTCTAGGTGGCAGGCGCCAAGCATGCCCAGGAAGGTACATGAGGCTAATGGGGATTGAACCCACGACCTCCTGGATGCCATTTGCGTGCCTTACCAACTGAGTTAGGCCGCTGGATTGCCCCCTTCATCCCACCGCACCTCCCACCGCAACCCAGCCCACCAAAAACAAAAAGAAGAAGGAGAAAAACTTCAAATTTTAAAACGGAACAAATAACTGGTGCACCCAACTAAACTGCCAAATCCGCGTGGTTCTCTACCAGTGAGCCCCATGGAACAGTGGTGTTGCCTAAAGAAATAATGGGACTCATAGATAAGGTGGAGATTATGGCGAGAAATTTGCGGCCCCTGAACATCTGGCCCTCTGTGTTTTGAGTTTCTGGCCTTGGGCACTGGGCCCTGATAATAATTAAAAAAAAGGGGGAGATTATAAAAAAAAAAAAAAAAAAAGGGGGAGGGAAAATAAAAAAAATAAAAAAAATGAACGAATCAAAGTCAGCCTTTCCTGAAAAATATCTTGAGGTTGCCAACATTGCGTTTCCCCGAGCCTAAGATCTAAAATTAAAGAAAGAAAGTAAGGTGAAATCCTGCAAGGCCACAGCCAGCGGTGCGTAAGCCGGCCGGGGTGCTGGGCGCGAATGCGCCCGGTTTGAATTTTTGTTGACATCGCGACACTTTTCCAGTGTCGGCGCCGTCGGGGGCGATGCTTGGGCAACGGGGGATCGCACGGGTGCTGTCGAGAAGATGGTGGCGCCTAGCCAGAGCTTGTTGCTGGGGAGGTGGGAGTGTGGGGGATCGAGTGCGTGGGCACTAAGTGGGTCACGCTGTTGCCATGGGCCAGTCCCGGCTGACTGGGGGGGGGGTAGTAATCCCGTTGGAACGAAAAGGGATGGTGGTAGATGTGTGGACGTCCGACGGGTGGGATCCGAGCATCGCGTTTTGCCAGAGTCTCAGCTGGTTAATTCTGATTCACACACCTGATCGAGGGCTTGGCCCTTCGGTCTTAGAAATGGAGGTGCCGTGGGGATGACCTGCCTATGAGCAATTGTGGGCGGCCTGCGGCTGAAGTTCGGAAGTTGATTCTGCTGGGCTATAGAACCTATTGGAAGCTAGGGTTGAATGATTGAGGTTTGCAGTTACTGGAATTCAACTCGTGTCACATCAATAGGCTTACGCTGGTTTGTTGTTTTGTCGGGTTATAGCGTTGAATGATTGGGGTTCGCAATTGTTGTTCTGTTGGGTTATAGCGTTGAATGATTGGGGTTTCGCAATTACTGGAATTCAACTCGTATTATATCAACAGGCTGACGTTGGTTTGCTGTTTTGATGGGTTATAGAAACTAGCTGCTGTTAGGAATTGCATCGATAGGTTTATGTTGATTTTGTTGTGTTGTAGAAACTAGAATAGGTTTATGTTGGTTCTAGTAGCTTGAGCCAGCCTTATCTGTAGCTAGGGTTTTCGCGTTTGCTTCATTGTTTCGTTGAGCCTTCTTGCGTTTGCTTCATTGTTTTGTTGAGCCTTCTCTATGATGTAAGGGACGCCGGACCCGGTTTCCAGTTCTTGTAATTCGCAAGCGGCCGTTGCATGAACCAGGCCGAAGTGCCTGGATCATGCAACAGTTGGCTGCCCTTTGCTTAAAAAAAAATAAAAAAATAAATAAATAAATAATAATAATAATAATAATAATAATAATAATAATAATAATAATAATAATAATGAAGCTTAATTAACTAACAAATATGAAGAAAACAAAATGATAAAATTAATTATAAAATATAAATATCTATCTATCTATCTATATATCTTTGACGATATATAACCGACAGTCTGTAGAGTTTTCCATCTGGTGTGGGTGAGTGATAGTCTACTTTGATTTTGGTTAAGGTAGATTATCATTTACAGTGTA